CTTCACATTCACCTCCACCCTCATCTCAGTACAATCACCTCCACCCTCATTCAATTCACTGAAACTAGAGACCATAGCTGATAGTATTATATGACAAATATATTTTTAATTTTACTACTTACAATGTATATGGATATAATTATGTGTTACCTCATGTGTACTAATTTGCACAATTCTCTATTGTCACTTGTTACATTTCAGTAATGAACATTAAAACTGCTAACAAAATGTTGAGAGGAATGCGACCCTAGTTTTATGTTATCTTTTCATTTTCTTTTAAGAACCCCGTGAAAAGATAGCATTTAATATGCATGCCAGCTTGTCATCAAATGTTTCCTGGGTATCAGTACCAACACATCTAGAACTCATGAATTCAGCGAGGTCTTTTAGTGTTAAAGTTGACTCATCTGGACTCACAGAAGGATCCCATTATACAGAGGTAGGATCACAATGTTTGTATCAATTTATACACTATATATGTTAACTCTACAGGTTATCCTCTTTGATGTGCACATGAACGGAATGTCCCATCTGTGTAGATTATGGATGTTGAGGCGTTAACTCTACAGTTTATCTTTCATATGCAGATGTGTGGATATGTCAAGTCTTGACAGAGTGTCCCATCTGTGTAGGTTATGGATGTTGAGGCGTTAACTCTACAGTTTATCTTTCATATGCAGGTGTGTGGATATGATGTGAAATGTCCACAGAGTGGTCCTCTGTTCAGAGTTCCTATTACTGTTATCAAACCATGTAAGGTGCATGATGAAACTTACTATGAAATGAAATCTGATGATTTAACATTCCGAGCTGGACAGATACATAGAAGATTTATTGCTGTACCAGTCGGGGCTACTTGGGCAGGTAGTGTGACTATCTAACAAACCCTTTTTGTTGATAAGGCCGCTAATGTATAAGAAGTAAAAATATTGTAGGAAAAAATAAAGTGACTATTTATAATATAGTGTAGTGTCTCAACTTTTAAATGCTTACTAGTTTATTTGTTTTCATTTCAGATTTGACAGTTGTATCTATGGAAAAGAAACTGCCATCACGTTTTGTAATTCATGCTATACAATTACTTCCACAGTCTGCATATAGAACACATGAATACTACAAGTTTATTACATTACCAGAATTAGCAGAAAGTACCCATGCATTTAGTGTGCAGGGTGGCGTGACACTAGAACTAGTTATTGCAAAGTGGTGGGCCAGTATAGGTACTGTTAATGTCAAGTACATTGTATCCTTCCATGGACTCGCACCTACCTCACGTGTTATTAATATGGTAAGATATTTAAACCACCATCTGTCTAAATTTATTGCACAAATATAATTCAACAATTGAAGACATCATAATTGAACTAGTTTTTGAATTATAATTGTGTAGTTAGTTGATGAAAGATTGAATGGAGAGTTATAGTAATAATGGGAAAAAAACAAAATGAGAGAATACATATTTATTTTGAGTACAAACTTATTATGAATTCTAGGAAATAACATGTACATATTTTATCTTCAGCATGCAGCAGAAGGCATTGTCAGAGTTAATTCTGTGTCAACACTTAGACACGAAGAAATTTCTCCTTCTCTTACTCTGAAGAACTGTGTTCAACCTCTCAGGTAATACTGCATCCCATATTGAAATTTATTACAATGTATAAAGGGACTAATGTGTGGTTAGAAACCAGTGCAGTCATCGGTCACTAGGACTTTAAGTCTATGGAATCAATGTCAGTAAAACTATATTGTCAGTTGATAGCAATGTGTCAGTAGAACCGAAGTGTCAGTAGAACCAGTGTGCCAGTAGAACCAGTGTGTCAGTAGAACCAGTGTACCAGTAGAACCGAAGTGTCAGTAGAACCAGTGTGCCAGTAGAACCAGTGTGCCAGTAGAACCAATGTGTCACTAGAACCCAAGTGTCAGTAGAACCGAAGTGTCAGTAGAACCAGTGTGTCAGTAGAACCTGTGTACCAGTAGAACCAAAGTGTCAGTAGAACCAAAGTGTCAGTAGAACCAGTGTGCCAGTAGAACCAGTGTGCCAGTAGAACCAGTGTGCCAGTAGAACCAGTGTGCCAGTAGAACCAGTGTGCCAGTAGAACCAATGTGTCAGTAGAATCAGTGTACCAGTAGAACCCAAGTGTCAGTAGAACCAGTGTGCCAGTAGAACCCAAGTGTCAGTAGAACCCAAGTGTCAGGAGAACCAGTGTGCCAGTAGAACCAATGTGTCAGTAGAACCCAAGTGTCAGTAGAACCCAAGTGTCAGTAGAACCAATGTGTCAGTAAAACCCAAGTGTCAGTAGAACCCAAGTGTCAGTAGAACCCAAGTGTCAGTAGAACCCAATGTGTCAGTAGAACCAGTGTGCCAGTGAAACCAGTGTGTCAGTAGAACCAGTGTGTCAGTAGAACCAGTGTGCCAGTAGAACCCAAGTGTCAGTAGAACCGAAGTGCCAGTGGAACCAGTGTGCCAGTAGAACCAATGTGTCAGTAGAACAAGTGTACCAGTAGAACCCAAGTGTTAGTAGAACCTAAGTGTCAGTAGAACCTAAGTGTCAGTAGAACCAATGTGTCAGTAGAATCAG